ATCAAACAGTAACAACAATAATAAGGTGAAGAAGACCAAGAAAAAATAAAAACAGAAAAATGAGACGCAGAGTAGCTTGAGGCTCCCCGTGCCATCTCCTCGACCAGCCAAACTGTTCTATAATTACGGGCGCTGAAAACGTGAAAATGGCCTCGGAATACACCGTTATGCAAGGCGGAAATATGAGCTCGAAAGCCCTACCAGTAAGGGAGATTGGGGTATAAACTGGATATAGTGATGAGGAAGGAGATAATGGTGCTGATAGTGTCCAGGCAGGAATAGAGGGGAAGGTAGAAGGATGAAAGGGGGAATGTTTAGCTAAGATAGGAAGAAAGGAAGAAAAGAGAAAGCGTGTGTAAGAGTGGAAAGAGGATGAATATGCGCCGTGTACTTGTGTGCGTTATATGTGTAGGTGTATGTGCATGCACACCTCGAATTTCTTTTTCTCCTTTCAGATTTGGAGCGTATTTGGTGGCAGTGAAGTTGATGTGCATGGCAGTAGTAGAGTTCGGTTTGATCAGAGTGGATGCGTTGGCATAAGAGGCTCTTTTGTCGTTGGATAAATGGAGAAGATACAGTCTACTTCAGTACGATCGATATAAATGACAGAAACTTATTGATTATTGTCATGTTTAGATTTCTTCATTTTCAATCTATGCATTTACGAGTTACTTATTTATGTGTCTATTTACTTATTTGTTCATTCATTCAATCTGTCATTTATCTGTCTATTGAATAATTTGCTTATTTTCATTGATATTGAATAAAGAATTTCATAGTGTGCATTTCACTTCAACTCACAAATTCCGACATATGCGCAATACACAATTCCAAATCATGCTTCAGAATAAGGCTTCACTGCCATCTGTTGAGAAAACAAAACACTAATTTCAAGTTGCCAGTTAGGTATCACAATTTTTTGAGGTTATTCGTAAATCTATACCGCAAAAAGCACACTTACAAGCTAAATGCATTTTATAAGTATAAGTAATCAATATTTTTTCTACCAAACCAAAAGTAAAGACGACATAATGTTGACTCAGCAAGGAAAAACTCTGAAAAGAAGTTGAATCATTTTTCAATTATTCACGAAAGGCAAACAGGAATGAACATGTCTGGACATATTATTTCTGAAAAGGATCGAAGACACACAGAAATTTATTAACATTCTTTTTTTTCATTTTATTCCCTACTACTCTTTAATATTATGTACCAGACGCCAGGTATAAGAAGTAAAGTCAGGAAATATAGAAACACTCAAGATTTTTCCCTAACTCTTGCAGACTTAAAATAATACTCTTGAATTGGGGTTTTGTTTCATGGTTTAGTGCCAGCTGCCGACATGTTTTCAAAAGGTCCAACAAACTGCGCACTGAGGATTAATTTGGGAGCGCGGAAATGGCGAGGCGTAGCTTCAATCAGTCGAATGAGTGATTTATTCTCTATAAACGGAATTGAGTTGATTGAGTGAAATGAGTAAAGTGCGTGGAGTGGGAAGAATATAATGAGTGGGAAGACAGAGTGGTTTCTAATTTGCGTGGATTGAGCAGAACGTGCAAAGTGGGCAGAGTGGGTTTATTGTGAATAGCGGTATTAAACGTTTATAGATTACATAAAGTGCATTGGGGATTTGATGTGCTAGATTCATAAAGAACCTGATTTGTAAGTGATTACAAAATTCATAAACGAATTTACAACTTAATGAATTTTCCATAATCCTGTTAAAAAGATTCGGCCCGCGCGGCCTGTTCAGAGCAGACCAAAAAGGTGAGCAGCATTGAGCGCCGTCGAATGCCTCCACGGCCCGGCATTGGCACTCGCCCATGCACACGGGCGATAGAGCTTCCTGTTTCCAATTTGTAGATAGCTTTGCGGGTCGCGGCTCTCGGCTCAGCTCCTGGCAGGGCTCTTCGCCAGTCCTCGGCCAAGACTCTCGCCAGGACTCGTGCCGAGGACCTTCGCCCAGCGCCCCTTTCCCCCCAAGCTAACCCCGCCCTTCCCCCAGCTTCCCCCCGCGTGGCGGAGGTGCCCGGCGACCAGGAGGTGGAGGAGGGCGCGCCGCTGACCCTGTCGTGCGCCGTGCAGGGCTTCCCGGCGCCGCTCGTGTACTGGACGCGCGAGGGCTCGCAGACGGTGCTGCCGGCCGCCCGCGCGCCCCTTGAGGGCGGCCTGGCGGGCCTGGCCAGCGCCAACGAGGAGGAGGACGCCCACCTGGAGGCGGTGCGCATGGCGTACCACGTGCCCCGCGCCGCCCACCACCACTCAGGCCGCTACATCTGCGGCGGCGTCAACTCTGCGGGCGGCGTCATGACCCGCGTGGCCGTGCGGGTGCGCCCCGCCCACCTGCTGCCGCCGCCCATCATCTCCGTGCCGCCCGCCAACCAGACGCTGCCCGAGGGGGGCCACGCCGCCCTCACCTGCCGCGTGTGGGGGTCGCCGCCCCCCACCGTCACCTGGAGGCACCGCGGGCGCCTGGTCACCGCCACGGCGCGACGCAAGCTGCTGCAGGACAACACGCTCACCATCGAGGGTAAGTCCCGCGCCGCCGCCAGGGGCGCGGGTGGTAGGGGTGATTATAATGGCAATAAAATGATGATAGTAATTATAATGATAGTAGTAGTAGTAACAATGATAATAGGGATTAGTGTTAATAATGATGATTGTAATGGCAATGACAATAAGGATGATAATAATGAAAGTAATAATAATAACGACAGTAACAATGATAATGATAATAATAATAGTATTATTATTATTATTAATGGTGATGATAATAATAATGATAATGATAATAGCAATAATAAAGTTAACGATAATCTTAATAAACATGATGATGGTGATGATAATGCGAAAATGATGATGATGATGTCAATAATAATGATAACGTAAATAGCGAGACTCGTAACGATGGCAAGAATAATTCCTAACAGTTAGAATAACAGCGATCATAATGATAATCATAAAAATGATAAGAAAAACAATTTACACTAGTTACATAGACTGACAAAGCAATAAGATAAATATTTTCTCATTTCTATTTCTATTTTTTTATCTTTTTTCGAGAGAGAGATAACAATCTTAAAACGACAATGGAAGTGTCATTAAACCAAGCAGCCAAGCATGAAAAGGTCCGCGATATTTCTTGTCGTGTTTTCACTTCACGGAATCGAGAGAGAGTGATATGTCCAGGACTAATATATTACAGTGCAAGACCAGGGAAAAGAAAACATTTGTTGATTAAGTAAAATAAAGCAAGAACTGGTATCATTAGACTAAAAAGAAAGAAAGAAAGAACATTATTTGATGGAATGAAAGGGAAATTCGTTTGGGTAAAGTAGAGTAAGTGAAATTATCATAACATAGGCATCTCACGGCTTGAAAATAAAAGAAAAAGAAAATTCACCGCGAAGAAAACATAGTCACGGCCACAAAAACATTTTTTACCGGAAATCTGCAAACTGACAAGCGTGCACAGTGCTTATGACGTTGCACACTATCATTGATAAGATTTACTAGCTAAATGAAAATGCAAATCATTACCTCTAACAATATGATTATAAACCATGATCTTTTTAATTATCCCTAGAGCCGTTTGAGGTCAGACAAAAAATAAAATCAAGGTTGATACGTCTATCCTTAAATGCCAAAGGTCACGCAGGGTCACACTGCTAACACACCGATAGACAGACACTCGAATAGAAAGCCAAAAAGACAGACAAACAGGCAGACATGAAGCAGACCGACAAAAGAAGCTAAATAGATAGCCAGCCTGTCAGTCAGTTGAATACCAGTCAAACAAACACACAGAGCACATCAAACAAACAAACAAACGAAAAAAAAAATCAGACTCGATTTTTTTCCTTCTTTTTTTTTCTTTTCTTTTTTTAATCCCAGACTTCAAAGACATGGCCAGCGTCACCTGTACTTATCTGTCACTCATTATCTGCCTTATCATTATCATTCTCGTTATCCGAGATCGCGACCGGGTTAACGCGAGCGGAAAGCCGTGGCGGGCGCGTTGCTGACTCAGCCACGACCCGGTAAACAAGCTCGGGCGAATTAGAAGGCTGTGAAGGGAAATGTGCGCCTTTGATGTGGAAGGAGATCCGATGAAGTTCTCTGTTCCTTATTCTTTTCTTCTTCTTTCTTTCTTTCTTTTTTCTTTACTTTTCTTTTCTTTTTCTCTGCTTCCGTTTTACCTTGAATCTTCTTTTACTATTCTTCCTCTTCTCATCTTCTCTTCTTTTTCTTCTTCTTCTTCTTCAGCCTCCTTCTCCCCCTCCCCTTCTTCCTCTATTTTTCTTCTTCTCTTCTACATCATATTCCTCTTCTTCTTCTCTTCGTATTCCTCTTCTTCTTCTCTTCAACTTCTCTTCTACTTCTTCTTCTCTCCTTTTCTTTTCTTCTTCCTACTCTTCTGCTCCTTTTCATTGATCATATTTTTTCCTCGTATTATATTAATATTACCATAGATATTGTTATCCTAATTATCAGCATCTCTCCCTTTCTCCTCTTTATCCGCTTCTGTGTCACTCACCCCCCCCCCCCCCCCGCCCTCCCTCTCCGCAGACCTGGCCTTCGGCGACGGCGGCGAGTACGCGTGCGTGGCGGCGTCTCCGCGCGGCGTGACGGAGGCGCGCGCCCTGCTGCAGGTGGCGTCGCCCACCGCGCCCGGCGTCGTGTTCCTGCGGGCCCCCCGACACCGCGCCCGGCCCGCCGCCCACGCCCACGGTGCGCGCCAGCAAACGGCACGCGGCGGTGGTGACGTGGGAGCCGCCGGCGCGGGGGGCGCCTCCCCCGTCACGGGCTACACGCTCGAGTCCTACAGCAGCTCGGAGGCCGTGTGGCGCGTGGCGGCCGCCCTCACGCCCCTCACCGCCTTCACGCTGGCGCCCCTGGACCCCGCAGAGGCCTACGGGGTCACCGTCCGCGCCCACAACGCCCACGGTGTGTCCGAGCCGTCGGGCATCGCCGAGGTGGGCGGCGGCAGGGGCGGCTGGGCGCAGGAGAGGGCGCAGGCCAAGGGCGAGGGGCTGGCCGGCCTGCAGGAGTCGCGGGTCACGCTGCAGGACGCCGTCCTGACGGGACCCACGTCCGCCAAGATCCTGTGGCAGGTGAGTCGAGGATTTTGCTCTTTTTTTTATTTTTATTTTTATTATTTTTTTTTTTTTGGGGGGGTCTCAGAGTGCCTCCAGTTGGCACTGCCATATCGTGCTATTTTTGACCACAATGATCACGAAAAAATTTGTGATGCTTTTTGCGGCAATGATAATCCAGGCCTAGACAAGATCTCTTCTAGACCTACATGATAATCCTAATTAAGAGGCCTAAACACTGATAGCAGTAAGGTGACAATAAAGAAAATTAGAGAGGTAGTGATACAGTCTGCCATGTCCTGCGTCTTTTTTTTTTTTTTTTTTTTTTTTTTTTTTTTTTTTTTTTTTTTTGATTCCCTAAGGTGTCGGGCGCAGTAATCAGAGTAACTGGAAACTCATTACCCAAGTTCTCAGCCAGTCTCTCGTGGCAAGACGAGTGCGAAAGAAACAAATTACATAAAAAAAAATGGATAAACGTGTAGAATGAATATATATTCCATGTAGATGTAAGACACGCATACCACCTATTTCCTTTGCACAAGTAAATCACGACAATGAAAAGCAACAACAAAATACATTTTGTAAAATATCACAAAGATCACAATGTAGTCATTTCTGCATGAGTCACCGCTCCAAATAAGCTCTCGTCGGTCAGTTTCCCGTTTTCTGTGAACCGTGAAACTTACCTCCTCCCTAACCCCCCCCCCCCGACCCAAATGGCAGTCTAGAACTAGCGGTTGCAACAATGGCACTTAATTTTGTTTTAAAGTGTATAATTTCAACATAAAAGTGGATGATGTAAGTGTATAATTCACGAGCTGTGTGTATTGTCTCTATTGCTCCTGGCTGTACGTTTCGTAAGCGTGCAATTTCTGACGTAAAATTCGCATAATTTTAACTCGGAATTATACGAACAACTGGTTGCTATTTGGCCCAAATTATTTGTTTAAAATATATTGTGTTTGTCTCTGAAGTGTGGAAGTGGATCCGTGTGCTTCTGTTTGTGCGTTTCACTTTGTTAATGTGTGTTTGTGTGTATGATGTTTATGTTTGTGTGTTTTGTTTTTGTTTGTTTGTTTGTGTGTTTGTGTGTGTGTGTGTTTGTGTATATTTTATGTGTATGTATGTTTGTGTGGTGTGTGTGTGTGTGTGACTCATTTAAACGCGAGGAATTGGAAACAAAGAGACAGACAGACAGGCAGACAGAGGAAGGGAATCAGAACCCTGATCAGTGTAACGACCATTTAACACTGTATCTCATTACCATAACATTCTCTCCCTGCTGTAGTTCTCGCGTGCCCTTTCCTCTCCTTTCCTCTCTTCTCCTCTTTCTTCCACTGTCTTCTCCTCTCCTTTCTTCTCTTTTTCCTCTTCCGTACTCTGCCTTCTCTCTTCTCCTCTCCTTTCCCTCTCGCTTTCAGTCTGCCTTCCTCTCCCTCCTCTTCTTTCCTCTCATTTCTTCTCACTTCTCCTCTCCGTTCCTCTCCTTTCCTCTCCTTTGCTATTTCTCTTTATTCGCCAGCAATTCCTTTTATTTCATTCCCAGGAAACTTTCAGCTTTATGGCCTGTCCTTTTTTCATACAAGATTGCGTTCTGATCTTTTAGCAACAAAATATACACCATATTAATAAGATTTTATAGATAAAAATACATACATACATACAGACATACATGCAATATTTATATATACATATATAGATACATACATACATATATACATACAAACATAAACATGCATACAAACATACATACATACATAAGTAAATACATACATACGTGTGTGTGTGTGTGATTGTATTATATGTACATATGTGTATAACATATTATTGTATAATAATTAATATT